GGGGGGATGAGGCGCGGGGCAATCGACCACGCGCACGCGCGACATGGGGGGGCCACAGCCGCGGACACCGAGGCAGGTGCCCCCCTCGGGTGGCGGGCCGCGAGCCGGGCCTCGGCGGGGCGGAGCTGCCCACGGCCCCCGGCGTGCAACGGCGCGGTCAGCCGCCCGGAAGGACACGACGCACCTCGTGGATGGCGTCCTCTTCCTCCAGGGTCTCGAGCGAGTCGCCAGAGAGAATGCCATGCGTGGCGACGATGTACACCCGCGTGGCGCCCTGCTTGAGGACCGTGTGCGCGGCGCTGATGAAGGCCTTGCACTTGTCGATATGGTCGTCCTGCGGGGCGGCCGCCGCCGCCGGAGAGGCAGCAGGGAGAAGGTCCACGGACGCATGAGTGACGGCCGAATGGGGCACAGGGGGGAAGGCTCGGCAGGCGGGGCGCGTACCAGGATGAAAACAATCTTGTCACTGACATCGCCGACCAGGGCATATTCTGTGCCCCGGCGAGGGCGAGGGCGAGGGCGAGGGCAAGGGGGGAGGCCGGGAGCGGACCGGGGGGGGGGTCAGCAGAAGAGAAGGGCAAAAGGGGATCGGAAGCCGGCGCCGGCCACCAGTGACGCACCCTTCTTCTTGGCTCCGTCCTTGCCGCGGGCCCGGCTCTCGAAGGTGTGCACCAGGGCGAACTCGATGCCCAGGCAGTCGGCCAGCGAGGTGACGCGCTTCGTGGCGCCCGGGTTCTTGGCCACCACCACGGCATTGCGCCAGTCGGCCACATTGTTGCGGATGTACTCGGCGATCGAGGGCTCGGCCACCAGGTTGTCCACCGGCACGCTGAAGAACCCCTGGATCTGCGAGTGGTGCAGGTCCATGGTCATGACATGATCGACCCCGGCCACGCGCAGCATGTTGGCAAAGAGCCGGGCCACCACGCAATTCCGGCGCTTCTTCTTCGACTGCTTGGAGTACGGCATGTACGGGATGACCGCGGTCACCCGGCGCGAGGAGGCCATCTTGCATGCGCTGATCATGATGACCAGCTCCATGATGTGGTCATTGACCGCGCCCTTGCCGGTTTGCACGATGTAGACATCCTCCCCGCGAACGGACTCGTTGATCTGGCCGATCCGGCCGGGGGCGGTGGTCAGTGCCGCGCGCGCGGGGGGGGGG